TCAATACCAATAACAATAGATCACTAGAAAAACTACAACTATATGCGACTTCTTAGTCTCCTCGCGCAAATCAATGAAACCGCCGAAGCGATTCTAGAAACACCAAAAATCTTCTTACGGGATTGTCAAAATCTTCGTACGTGACCTTAAAATACGGACATATATGCTTGTATAATGTGTAAATTCTGATATTAAAATACAGGATTGTCGAAATTTATAATATGTTAGGCATGTGGTTGCGAAATTTATACAAGCAGTCACTAATAAAGCTCATAGCCGGTATATAAAGATGAATTTTATTATTATTATTATTATTATTATGCTGCCAACCGTGGTCTGCTATTGGTAGAACAGAACTTTCTCTTTGAAGGTCATAACTCCTCTCAGATCATGAGTTCAAATCTCCCTCTGGTGAGTTTGTCGTTAGTGAGGGTTGTCCTCGAATAGTTAGACACATAAGAGTGGCTAGGGGCTCGTATGATAGCCTCAGACCATTCTTTTTAATATATATATATAAAGAGAGTCTAGTTTATAGTTGCAGCTACACACATAATTTTGTATGTTTGTGCATTAAATTTTATTATGTACTTGATGCGTGAAAAAAAAATCACGGAGTCTGACCTAGTTGAAGAGATCTAGTATAAACTGAAGATTACAAATACAACTTCTTGTCCCACATATGGGAAATAATTACAAAGTCTCACAAGTCACAACTCGATGTGTGGATTAACTTTTTCAAGGAATAGACAACAATCAATATTTATTGGTGGTGACCGACAAGTGGTGGTCGATGTGTTCGGTGTAAATCAATGACACTTTGCGGATGTCGACTACGTCAGCAGTGATTGACGGAGGCAGAAGTGATATTAGACTTCATCTCCTTCTCAAAGCTTCAAGTTTTTTCTTAGGTCGCAAGCTCTTTCTGAGGGGGTGGGCTATATCTATAAAGTTCTAGGTACAATTAATGCAGAAATATGAACCACTTTTATCGGATGGTCAGAAAAACTTATTTTGATTAGACGATATTTGATAGACATTTGAGTGTCTTAAAGATGTCAGAATTGAGCGATCTTGAACTCGTTGGATTCGTCTTGTCAAGACACTAGATTCAACTGTTAGCTTGATAGATTCAACATTCACTTGACCTCCCAAATATACTCAAAAACTTTTTAAAATTGGTTTAATGACTTGTTCTGAGCTTGGTTTGTCTTGGATTAGACCAATTATTGTATCATCAGATCCGTCTCATCGAACTGATCAGTCTAACTAAAAGTTCGCTTAAATCAAAACTCTGAATGACACTTAATTGAAGTTTGAATATTTATTCCTAAAAGATTGTCTCGAGATCCGTGTTAGTTGCTGGCGTATCAGTTCTATTCTATAAATATCAATAAATTCATTATTGGTAAAATAACACGTGAATATTACTTATGTAGCAATCCCTCATTATTTCGACTACGCCAATCTGGCAAACGCAGCCATTGCATCGTTATTCATTGGCTCGTGACTTTGTTCAAAATCATAAAAAATCATGCAAATTTTAATTAAAATGTTTTGTATTATAACAAAATTTTAATGACGATGAGTCTCAAAATTGATAAATTTATAAGAAATTTAAATACACGCCACATAATTCTTACGTAGAAACACACATAATACCTAAAATTTGATATTCAAATTTATAAAATTTATGCTTGAAAATATATATTTCATTAAAAAAAAATTAACAATAGGCACGCAAATAGATAGGAATATTAAAACTTTGAGTGTTATGCGAGTAAACACTAAAATTTAGACATTAGACATGCAAATAGATAGAAATTGTGGTATGAATGCAAATGTCCCGATAAGAGGTACGTAATACATGAACAATTACGACGATCTCGCCAAATCAGGCTCGAGATTATGGCCCTGCTAACTAACCCGGTGGCCGTGATTATTGCATCAGGACAACGAACGATAAAGTTGCGTCCGGAGTCTAGTGAGCACCTGTCACGTGACAAGTGGACCTCACTGTAATACACTGATTGAGTAAGTATTTTAGAGAAAAGGGGCCCACTTGCTACATAGCACAGTCTCACTGAACTCCGGGCACAACTTCCTTCAAACTGAAGGAGCTATAACTCAGTTATGGAACCCAAATTGGAAGCATTATTTGCATTATTAGTGAGGTGATATTTTATAGAAAAACCTTTTCGCTGATGTTCTGTATTGACATACATGGCGTTTCGTTTGTGTCTGTTGCCTATGCGGGGCCGGGAGGGGCGAGGCTGTTTTTGGACGGGAATGTACGGTGGGGGCGGGCCGCATAAGCTGCGCTCTAAGGCCTTCCATTTAATGCTAATTATAAATCATGAGCTTCTCTTCCCTTCGCTTCCTTCTCCATATATATTCTCAATGTCTTGTGTTTGGAATCACGTAGCGGCGCGTGAATGCGGACGCACAGATATAATTAGCACATACAACTCATTCAAATTTATCTCTGTGCTATCCTTATCCATCTATTGTCTTTTGTTATATATTCACTATGGGGAAGATAATAAATTTAATCAGAATTATATATATATAGATGATTAGGGGTGTAAACCAATCTAGTGGAGCTTGAGCCATTCTTGACTTGCGGGTTTTAACCGGCTCACGAGCAGACTTATTTAATATAAAAATGGTAAAATAATATTAATTTAAGCTCATGTTACAATAATTGACAAATATAATGAACAATTAGGAGATAAGTAAAAAAAATCATTTAATATAAAATATAAAATATGATTAAAGATAAAGTATTATATTGTAAGTTTTATAAAAATAATTTTTAAAAACAAGCTAAGAAGAAAGCTGAGTTTAGTCGGGGCTGGCTTGTAGCTCATCGAGCTTAATTCATTGAGTGGGTAGCATATTAATCCTCAATATGTTCTTTGTTCTACACAACATGAAGCATTGCATCAACTTGGGTGCAACTTGGCATAAACCTCGGTACATGCTGACTCCTTCAATTGCAATGTCACAAAAAAATTATTTCGTTTAGCCATTCATATTATGACACGTTATGTTTGGACAACAATTTTAGTACATCCATCGATATTCTCAGCAATCAAAACCTATTTTATTTTATACAAAAGAAAATTAAAATGTAAAAAAATTAATGGAGAGTATTCTTCTTATATTAGTTGTTTAAATTCTAAATGTTTGTTATAATATTCTTAATACTATAATTATGCTCATTATGGCTGGTTGGCTACTACTACATTGGTCCTTCGACGTAGTGGGTTGATTATATGAGTTTGTTAATTTTTGGGGGATTTATTTTCATAAAATAGTAACTTTCTATTCCTTTATTACAATCCTATGGATTCTTGAAGTTATGTTTTGAATTGGTATTTCGTGGATTGGTTTGATAGTTTTTAATTGTTATGTGATGAAGTTCGTGATGAAATCCGTTATTCTATATATGTTGCATGTTATATATTGCTTACTTAGCTTATATTCAACTTGTTGGTCACTTTTTGATGCTCCTGAATGGATACTACTCTTGTTTCTACCACTCTAAAATTGCTACTGATTATTACTTTCTTGCTATTTATTTCAATGGCGTATTTTTGGATGTCCATGAATAGTTTCGGACTATTATTTTTGGATTTTCTATGGGAAACTTTTGGGCTATCCTACATACACATTAGATGAACTATTACCGAGTTTTATTATCTATCTCTTCCTTTAACTCATATTTTTAAATGTTCTTGGTTGGACTCTATACATGATATTTTTGCTCAATTTTCGCTAGGTTGGCTTTTTCTTGGAAGTTCTAATGGATACATGTGGACATGTTTCTACATTTGATGCAGCAATGATGATATCTAACCTCAGAGTGACTTAACAAGATGTCTTAACCTTTCTTACTATTTCATCCTCAAATTTCTTGCTTATTATATTGGTCATTTGCTAATAAACAAAATCTACTTTTACTATAAATTTACTACTTATAATGCTATGTTCTTGTATCAAATAATGTTATTTTAATTATGAGCCTATTTTTATTGTCTACTAGAATGCACTTCTTAATGGTTTTCAAATGCATAGCACTCAAAAACTTATAGCTATGATTTTCTTACACAATGCCCATTCTTTGTTCTCTTTAATCCCGAGATTGTATGAAGGCTGCTACAACATTTTGTCTTCTTTAGATAGCTTTGCTTAGAATATATGGATATCTCTGAGTTCTGGCTCTCTTGGAGTCTTCATTTATACTCATTAAAAATTTTATTAGTTTTTAAAAAATAACTTTTTGTGTCAAAATTGTTATAATTCTTATGTTCATTTTATTGCTTGTATGATCACTTCAAATTATTATTATTAATGTGAAATTAAATTGGCCCTCATTCTTCCAAAAAAAAAAAAAAGTTTCATCACATCAAAATTTATTTTCAACATTATTAATCTCAATCATTGATGAATGTTTCTCTTTATTCTAAAGAGCATAAATACTAATTTAAAAAAGTTTGATTATAAAAGAGAAATTTGTATAAGAGTTTCATTTAAGAAGAATAGGGTTAACATTTAGCAAGAGAGTAGGAGTCCATAAGGGACTTCAAAAAGTCAAATACTTTTAAGTTTTTTTTTGTAGAAAATATAAGGAATTCCTCATGAAAATTTCTTATACTGATTATCTTTATGATCATTGATTTCTAAATTAAATTTTGTAGTTATATATATATATCACACACAATTTTTATGACATTTCTCAAATTCATTAGTTAAGATCTTAAAATTTATGCACATAAGCTGCAAATAATAAAACAAAAATCTAAAAGAGCTTGTCCATAATATCACCAATAAAAAATTACTTCTATATTTTGGAGTCCATAAATCCCAATATGACTCACAAATCCTAAATATAAACCATAAAGTGCGTTATTATAAAAAAAATCAATATAATAATTCATGTAAGAATTTCCTTTATAAGACATCCGTCCCTCAATCCCCAAGATCCCATATATTTTTGTACTCCTTCCTCCCCTTCAACCGGCATTGGCTTTTCCCTTACGCCCACTCTACCTAGTCTTAACCTCCTCCCCCTCCCTCTCCTCCTCTTAACCCCCTTCGTCCTCCTCCCCCCATCCTCCCTCCAAAGCTCTCTCCTTTGCAATCAATATCAACCATGGCTCGCCCTACCCCCAGCTCCAAGCAAGACGATCAGTCCCCTCCCCCACCTCTCCCGCCGGAGTTCGACGCCGCAGTTCTCAGCCAACAGCAGAACATACCTGCCCAATTCATCTGGCCTGAAGGCGAAAAACCCACACCAGACGCATCTGAAGAGCTTCCCGTCCCTCTCATCGACCTCGCCGGCTTCCTTTCCGGCCAACCTGAATCCGCCGCAGAGGTCGCCTTCCTCGTCCGCGAAGCCTGCTCCTCCCATGGCTTCTTTCAAGTCATCAACCACGGCATCCAGCCCAAACTCCTCGACGACGCTCACCGCTCCATCGAATCCTTCTTCTCCATGCCTCTCCACGAGAAACAGAGAGCTCAGCGTAAGCCCGGAGAGAGCTGTGGCTATGCGAGCAGCTTCACCGGCCGATTCTCCTCCAAACTCCCCTGGAAAGAAACCCTCTCTTTTCGTTTCTCCCCTTTCTCCTCGGTTGTCCTCGACTACTTCGCGAACTCTCTTGGCGAGGATTTTCGACATTTCGGGTTGGCATTTCGTAAAACACGCATTTGGTTATCTCTTTTGCAGGGGAGGTCTCTGTTTCTGACATTCGGAATTTGACGCAGGGAAGTGTATCAGGACTACTGCGAGGCAATGAGCAAGCTGTCGTTGGAGATAATGGAGGTCCTCGGGATGAGTCTCGGCGTCGGGAAAGCCCATTTTCGTGATTTCTTCCATAGCAATGAATCCATAATGAGACTCAATTACTACCCTCCATGCCAGAAGCCGGAGCTCACGTTAGGAACAGGGCCTCACTGCGATCCCACATCCCTCACCATTCTTCATCAAGACGACGTTGGGGGACTTCAGGTCTTCACCGACGGGCGGTGGCGCACCATCAGACCCAAAACCGACGCCTTTGTCGTCAACATCGGCGATACTTTCATGGCAAGTTTCCACCTTTGCTTCTATTTCATTGCTCCTTTCTCGATTCTGTGGCTTATCGAGTTTTGTTTTTTGCATGAGAAGGCGCTATCAAACGGGAGATACAAGAGCTGTCTTCACAGGGCGGTGGTGAACAGAGAAGTGCCCAGGAAATCGCTGGCTTTCTTCTTGTGCCCGGACATGGAGAAGGTGGTGAAGCCGCCGAGCGGATTGGTTGATCCAGATCACCCGAGGGTTTACCCGGACTTCACGTGGTCGGCTTTGCTCGAGTTTACGCAGAAGCATTACAGAGCTGATATGAAGACACTTGATGCCTTCTCGCAGTGGATTCAGAGCCCCCTTGCCACCTGATCTTCTTCACTCTTTACTTCTTACCACGAGTGCTTCAGGATTTTGTTAATTGACGCCGTCTTCTTCTTCTTCATTTATTTTTATATAAATTTCTCTCTTCCCCAACTTTTTTTTTTTGGGTTGCATGCCCCCCTTCTCGTCATATGTTGGTAAATGAAAAAAGTTTTAATTTTTATGAAGTTTTAATGATTTAAAGATGCAGATTAGTGCTCGTAAGAATTTCTTTTCACCGCTAGTGGTTGGAGACACAGTTAAGAACGGAAAATCAGAGAGAGTAACCACAATCCTTCGCAGCTATTTCAAAATTTATTGTGATGAAAATTAACTTTTTTTATTCGAAATAGCTATGAAAAAGTTGCTTTCAAAAGAAACTACTGAGAATTTATTAATAGCATCATAATTAGCTTTATTTAAAAATTTCAAATAGAAGAATTAAGAGAAAAAACAGATATAAGCAAAATAAAAGAGCAAATAAAAAAAAATATTCAATTAAAAGAGGACCATTAACAGAGCTGGGCCATGGCGGAAATGAAATGGGATGGATGCTTCTTGTCACTGTTCTCCATTGGAACTACTTGTGAAATTCAATTCCCATATTAATTATAATCAATCGCTTAACCATATTTATTGAAAAGAAAAAATAATTCAAAATGCTAATCAACAGCTAAACTCAATATCCACATTTAGAACTCTCAGTCCAACCCAGCCGTCCAAAAGATTTCATCTTGACACGTCGAAATTCACACCTGCACTCATGATCGAATCAGCATCATTCATCCAATCACCAATGGCGATCCGTGCAGGCGATAAGAAGAAACAAAAGCAGGGGGGGATTGGATGACAGAAAGGATCAAAAAAAAAAAAAAAAAAAAAAGGGAAGGGAATTATATGAAAGGATGGTTTGGAAGGAAGGGTGAAGGTTGAAGAGAATCGCATCAATATCCTCTCTCATGGCCTCCCACTTTTTGTCATATACTTTGAATTAAACTAAGCAGTTTCCCATTTCTGTTTCGTCGTCTTCCTCCGGCAAGTAGGTCCTCCCCTCCATTTTTCTTTCTTTGGACTCTTCTTCTCCGGGACGAGCTCTCCCTACCTAAATACTCTACTGTATGGATTGAGCCTACACGTGTGTGGTGCTCCAGTATATTCTGATTTTTAGGCCAAACATGCAAATTATTTCAATTTTTTATTTTTTATTTTTATTTTAGAAAGTTGACAAACTTAACTAATATCATTTTTCATATTTGGTTTGCTTGTGTTCTGGCTCGCTTGCTTAGCGAACATAACACAAATTGTTCGCGAACAATGAGTTGTTATGACATACTTAGTCACACAGTTGTAGGATGTTAAGGATATGAACGACATTTAAATCTTATTTTTATGCTAAAATATTTATTTAAATAGAATTTTATATATTTTATTCTATTTTTTTACTTATTTTGAGTCGAAATGAGCCGAAAATAAATAAATTTTTGTTCGTGTGTATCATTTATATACCGAGTGCAAAAAAAAAAAAAAATCTTGTTTGGCTGATTTACTTAGCATCTTGTTTGGCTGATTTACTTTTTGGCTGATTTACTTAGCAAATGAAATAACAATTATATGATTGTATGATATATCTATTTGTCTTTTAAATTTGTTTAAGAGAATAGTTTGTATTGGCACCAAAATTTTAGTAAAAATGTTATGAGCTAAACTCCAATTTTAAGGAATAAAAAAGGGGGGAGGATATTCTAATCAAAATTTTAATTAGAATATAATAAAAATTATTGTATTTATTTTGAGGAGTGAAGCATGGATTTGAAATAACTACTCATATATTAAAGGCTACTGAAAATAGATCTAAAGACTTCAATCAGAGTGAATCATGGGATTTATCTAATGATATTAATGAAAAGATTCTAAGTCAAGAGTTATCATCATTTAAAAGAAAAAAATGTTATGGTTTCTTAATTTTGAGCCCAGTTTTGTCTATAATTCATACCAAATGAATAGAGCTTAAAAGGAGAGGGAGAGAGAGGGAGAGTGAATGAGAGTGAGAACTTCAAAGAGCCATTTGTGTCCTAGGTTTCAATAATAAAAAAAGAGAACATTTACATTTCAAGCTCCATTTATTTATTAGGTGCTGTAATTATTATAAAACGACACTTATGCCCCAGATCCTCTTTGATCTTCTGACTTCTGATTTGTCGATTTTTGGTCGGTCTAACTCCTAATTGATCAACCTCTGATAGGTCGTCTTCTTGTCGGCAAGCCTCTAATTGGGTGACCTCTGAGATGGTTGGCCTCTGGTCGGTTGGCCCATAATCGACCTCTAATCGGACAACTTTTATCGTTCAGTTATCCTATCTTCAGGCCTGCATTGCTTGAAATTCAATTTTTGACATGTGCAATGTTCTGATTCGTCGGATCCACAAATGATTCAGTCACTTGTATTTTTTATTGTACATATTTTAGTTCTTGATTCTTTCGTGTCTTAGTAAGATGTGTTGTAATAATAAAGAAAGAGCTAAAAGTAAAAAACGACAGTTTATTATTAAATAACCTTGATGATTGATACTCCCTTGATTTTCGAGCAACTGATTATTGCAAATAGGACGTGGAAACGTCTCTTTAAATTTGTCTGCTTCATGTTCTTTCCTTTTCCAATTGCCTTGCTTCACATGAGCTTTCATTCTTCCTTTCTTTATCGACCGTCCTTTTACTTTGCAGGAGCTTGCAATGAGCATACTTACAAAGCCCCAAACTAACATCTCAAATGGGATTCCAATCCATAGAATGTTAATTGAGGAGAAATGCATGAAACAACGTGAGGGCAAACAAAGAAAGAAAGTTGTAACAAAAATAAGGATGGTATACTCCTTGGTAAAGGCGGCTCTTACGGGGCATCCCCAAAAGATGTTCGGCCGGTCACCATGACCTAGGAACCGATCATTCAACCTGTCGATATCACACATGGTCTGACAGAGGGCAGAATTACTTGAACCTCTCCTAAGCTTCATAAATCGACTCTCCATCTAATTGGGTGAGGATGTGATGTCATTTCTAAGTTTGATAGTCTTGAATGGACGGAAATACTTGGCCTTAATTAGTTGGGCTAAGTTAGTCCATGTGGTGATGGATCCTGTTGCTAAGCAAGTGCGCCACATCTTGGAATTATCCCTAAGTGGGAAGGGGAAAAGCTTTAGTCTAATGAAATTGTTAGGGACACTGTTATACTTGAAAGTAACATAAGTTTCTAAGAAATTAGCTAGGTGCAAGTTTTGATATTCAATGGGTGCTCCCTCAACTGGTTGTTTTAGATCAATTGAATTATATAATATCTCAGCTTAAATGCGTTTGCTTCCATAGTAGGGTAATGGATACTCTTATGAATTCTTGCTACCAATGGGTTGACAAACTCACTAATAGGTTTTAGATGTTCCTCCTGAGGGGTTTTCATTTTAAAGTATTTCTTTTAAAGTTTTTGAATTTTATTCAGTGTTTTTTATATTTCAGGGTCAAGTGGCAACATTGCACCTATAGTACTCCTATGAATACAATGACAATGCGTGAAAGGTGATCGTATTGGTGATCGTATTCTAAAGTAGGAAATGTAAGAAAAAGAACAAAACATAATTATAATAAAAATGGAAATAAACATGAAAATATGATATAGTTAAAACCTAAAATTTAAGAGCTTCAGCTAAAGTTTTCCTAAAATCAGAAAATTTTGACTCCTATACCTGACAATGATGCTAAAAACTTGATGCCCAAATGTACTGCGAAGCATTCAATTAATCTTGAAAGCAAACATGTCAAGTAATATACACATAAAAAGTTTGTATATCAATACCACATGAAAAATTGTTAAAATATTTCTAACATGAAAAGTTATAGTGTACTAAATCGCTAAATCTAGTTTGAAGTGATCAAAATGACAAGAATGAATTTCTAGCAGCCCTAAAAGTGTAGTAAGTAAAAATAGTAGTACAGAAAAGACAAGGAGTAACTTTCAGTCATTTAGAGGTGATGAGACTCATGCTTCTGTGACACTGGTATAGTATTCTCTCTATGTTTTTTCCTATGAGTTTTCTATTGTGGTAGTTGAAAACTAGAGACACAATTTTGCTTAGCCCATGTTTAGGTCATAAGAAGAGTTAAAAATCATATTATAGTTAAAAAGGCTTAACTATGCATCATTTCTCAGGATTCCCCAGATTTCTTATCTTGGTTGTAATTTCTTAATAACAATATGTATATTTCACTAGACTATTATGTGTTAATGTACTTGTTCTTCTAGATGATATTTAAAAACCCTAGATCACTAGGATTTTAAAATTCTATCACGTCAAAGCTGAAGTAAATTAAGACTAGAAAGTTAACACATTAAGATATGAAAATCAAAGGCACATAAAACGTTTGTGGAGAAAAACTCATGATAAAAATAAACTTACATCATAAGAGAATGGAAGAACATTAGCTGCGAGACAAAAGGCAGAAAAGCATAAAAATTGTCATTACACCTACTAAAGATATATATGAAAAAGATGACACAAACTTACAACTAAGCCAATTGTTCTCCACAATACACCAAATCCTAACCAGATAATGGAAGCACTCCATGATTTTCCTCATGCACAACCTTCACACACACACACACACACACACACAGTATTTTTCTCACAACAACCTCTCAATCTCAAAGTAAAACTAACCGTAGGAGTTTCTCCACAAAGAAGAAGGAAGAGAGGTTTTGCAGGTGACTCCTAACTTCTTCAGGACATCCCAAAGCATCTCCTTGTATATCTCCTACCAAATTTACCATGCAAAAAGATGCCAAATTAGGTTTAGCACGGACACAACATAGCGACGCCCCTGCTTGGCATAGTTACAGCGTTGGCCAGGGTAACCATGCCATGGCCTAGCGTAACTACACCGGACCAACAACAAGAGTGACATAATCACGTTGCAGAGTAGCGTAATTATGTCATCTCAACATTCTTATTCGCTTCGTGTTTTAGTTGCACAATGCATCGCCAACCCCAGTAACTCGCAAACTACCGCCAAGAAACATTCCACAAGCATAATATCACGATAAATAAAGAAGAAAACATGGTTTTTAAAGTAAA